GTCACTTATTTTTGTGAATTTACCCATTTTTTAAGCCTCTTTTCCTGATTAGATGATGATCAGTTGGTCTAGTTTTTCACAGACCTGATTTATCATAGAAGCAGTATTCTGAATTATTTTGGTACTGTTTTTATTTCTTAACTCATTAATTTCTACTTTTACCTTTATTTCTTTCTTCTCCTTTTAGTTTGTTCTTTTTACAACTTTTTGAGTTGAATATTTTTTTTTTTTTTTTTTTTTTTTTTTTTTTTTTTTTTTTTTTTTTTTTTTTTTTTTTTTATTTATTTTTGGGACAGAGAGAGACAGAGCATGAACGGGCGAGGTGCAGAGAGAGAGGGAGACACAGAATCAGAAACAGGCTCCAGGCTCTGAGCCATCAGCCCAGAGCCCGACGCGGGGCTCGAACTCACGGACCGCGAGATCGTGACCTGGCTGAAGTCGGACGCTTAACCGACTGCGCCACCCAGGCGCCCCTTGAGTTGAATATTTAATTCATTTATTTTCATTTTTATTGTTTTAAGCATGTATGGATTTGAATTTTACTCAAGCATTTTTTAAAATAAATATCCTATTGATATCTTAAAGAATGCATCCCCCCAAAAATTAAACATGATGTCACTTATGAATACTAATGGGGAAATACTAAATAAAATATTAACAGTTCCAACTAAACATTTAAAATATAACAATGACCTGGTATGGCTTATTCTAGCAATGCAAGAATGGTTACATGGTTTAGGAAATTCATTACAAAAAGTCACATATTAATAGATTTAAAGGAGGGAAGAAATCACAAACACTTCCATAGACACTGAAAACCTTCAAAACTCAACATTCATTTTCGGTGAAATACTTAATAAAACAAAAATCAGTGGGTACTTCTTTAATATATTTAATATATATTGACCTCAACCCTAAAGCCAAATAATTTAATGAGGAAATACCAAAGGCATTCCCACTGGAAAAACAAAAAGATACTTCCACTCTTTATAACTCTACTGGAGTTATTAGGAAAGCCATTATGCAAGACAAAATAATAATGGGAATAAGAAATGTAAAGGAAGATCTAAACTTTCTCTACTTGCAGATGATACGATGACTTAGCCAAAAATCCAAGAAAATCAACCAATAATGATGATTTAGTTAGACAGCAGCCATTTAAAATCAATTTAAAAATATATGTAGGCATACATATAGGTACCTACATATATGTACATATACATATACACACACAATAATGGAAGAGAAAACCTCATTTAAAATAGTAACAAAAAGATAAAGTATTTATGAATAAGTTTAATAAGAACTGATCTAACAGAATGAAATCCCTTGTTCTATAATGGGATATTTTGACATAAAGATGCTGATTCTCAATGACAGTCATTTGGATGGAAAAAATATTTGACCCATAATTTAACAATATACCAGAATAAATTCCCTTACATGCATTAAAGATTTAAATATTAAAATGAAGGCTTGCAAACATTAGAAAGAAAATAAGAAAAGCATTCCTTTATACTCTGGGAGTAAGGAAAGTATGTGAAACAAAATTCAGAAACAATAAAAAGAAAAAAAAATTTTTAATTTGAAAATAATTAAAAATTTTACATTACGGGTGTCTGGGTGGCTCAGGTCATGATCTCACAATCGTTGAGATTGAGCCCCAAGTTGGGGCTCCAGGATGAGTGGGGCCTGCTTGGGATTTTTCTCTCTCCCTCTCACTCTGCCCCTCCCTGCTCACTCTCTATCTCTCTCAAAATAAATAAATAAACTTTAAAAAAAGATTCTTAAAACCAAATTAAAAAAATAAAAATTTTACACGGCAAAAATTTTTATAAGCATCCAAACACAGTTATTTATAACATGGTAGGATATCATTACTTAATAAACTTTATAAAAAGTCACACTATGTTAGAAGTCAAAGACAGTGGTTATCTTTAAAGAGGTAGAAGGGGAAAGTCACTGGGAGAGGACACAAAGGGGCTGAATTGGTAACGTTCAGTTTCTTGAAGTAGGATCTTAAAAATCAAGGAGGCTCAGATTTCACGTTTTAATAACACTATGCGACAGGGATTGCTACTTCCACAACTTTACACATGGTGAAATGAGGCAAGACCAAAGGAGGTTAAATAATTTGCCCAGGACATAGATGACTGGTGGGGCCAGGATTTTAACACAGGCCAACTAACTAAAGCTAGCACTCTTAACCAAACCTTCCATGTATCAGAAGATAATAAATGCAACATAATCATCAACATCAAATATGACAGGGAGGTCTTGGAAGATTATAATTAGTCTGATCCTTACACTAATGAATTTGAAGTATGCCACCTCAATGAAAATCCTATGAAAGCAGGATCTATGTTTACTTTCCACTATACTATTTCCAGCAACTAGGACAATACTTGCAACATGACAATACTTACAAACAATGGGCAATTGTTTGTAAACAAACTACAAATGCATTTTTCTCATTAAAATAAATGTTCAATTTAATGGAAAAAACGGAGAAGATCAAAACCCAAAGAAAAAATGTGTAAAAGATAAACAGTTCACAGAAAAGGAAAGACAAGTAGCTCTGAAATATGAAAAAGTGCTCATCATTCCTAATAAAAGGAATATGAATTAAAACTATATCAACATACCATCTCACCCAATCAAAATTATGTGTTAATACTCTGTTGGAGAGGGAGTGGAGACACAGGCACTCAACATACACTACTAAGAGAGATACAAACTGGCACAATTACAACAGAAGGGAATTTAACATGTCCAACTAACTAACATATGCACTCCTTTGGCAAGCAGCCAGCTTCTAAGAGTCTACCCTAAAACCATACCTCCACAAATACAGAGAAAATACATCAGGTTATTCACCACCTGCTATTTATAATAGCAAAGTACCAGAAATAACCTGAAGACCATCCAATAGCAAAGTGATCAAATAAACTATTATATAGCCCAGTGCTGTCTGGGACATGGTTAACCACTAGCTCTTAGATTAAGGGAGACCCCATAATTGGCAACATTTGTCATGAACACACTCCCACTATGGCTAATTTCAGCTACAAAATAAAACCAAACATGAAACTGGAAAGAGACACACAGAAGCACACCATTATTTGTAAAATGTCCATTATATAAACATAAGACACAAATAACCTTAAGAATACAAATAATATTAAAATACATTAAACTAATTAGGAAGTAATAGGTTTTGTGTACTTCTTTTATTTTCAATATTGTTGAGGTTTGAATTGTGTTCCCCAAAAATTCATTTGTTTTTTTTTTTAAAAGAAGAAGAACAAGATAGAGGGCAACAAGAGAGCAAGAGGCGGGGGGGGGGGGGGGGGGGAGAGAGAGAGAGACAGAGAGACAGAGAGAAGCAGAGCTTTTGTGTGCTCCCAGTGCAGACTGAAATTCATGAACCATGAGATCAGGACGAAAGCCAAAGGTCGATTTCAACCGACTGAACCACCCAGGCACCATGAAATTCGTATCTTTAAGCCCCAATGCTATCATATTTAAAAATAGGGGCCTTACAAGGGGGCAGAAACATATAAGGCTAAATAATGCAGATTATGGAGCCTAATCATACAGGAATAATAAAGATCCTCATGTGAGAAGAGAGGAAGAGACCAGAGATCCCTTCCCTCCCTCCTCACACCACCCTTTTGGTAAAGAGGAAAGACCATGTGGAAACTAAAGAAGAGGAGGCTACCTACAATCCTCTCAAAAGAGCATCACCCAGAAAAACCAACCCATAAAGGTTTGATACTTGAACCTCTAGACTCCAGAGGTTCATGACAAAAGAAATTTGTTTGAGCCCCTCTAGCTGTCTGGCATTTGTTAATACGGCCCGAAGACTAATACAAATTTCTTTATAAGTACACTTATTTTTTAATGTTTTGAATAACTCATATATATGTTTTCTCTGAAAATTAACTTGAAAACAAGGCCACATTAAAAAACAGAAGAGAGAAGTAAAAAGTCCATATCATTGATAGATACAATACTATAAGATACGCCAGAAATAAAACAACATTGAAGAGGCAGGAAGCGAAAAGAAAGTTAACATGTTGCCTTTTTGTATAGGAAAAAGAGAACTAAGAAATGAATACATTTTCTAATTCTTCATAAAAGAAGAGAAACTATAAAATAATAAAACTGAAAAACTGATATGTTCTATAAAAGATAATGAGGAACCAAAAGAAGAGCAAAACAGAGCTGTTTTCTGGTTATATTTAACGCATATATTTTACTTTTGAATATATTCAAAAACAAACTACATCAAAAGACCTTAAAATTGAAATATAATCTTCTTAAACAAAGCTTTTGAAAAATCATATATTTGCAAACACTTCCTCCAACTTCAAAAAAGTGGGCTTATTGATTTTGGAAAGTAGGGACAGAGACAATGTGAACAGGAGAGGAGCAGAGAGAGATATATATATATTTGGAGACAAGAGAGAGAGAGGCACAAAGAGAGAGAGAGACATGTGAGAGTATATATATATATATCATGTAAGGGTGAGAGAAGAGTATATATATATTGCAGGCAGGAGAGAAGAGAGAATTGGTGAGAGAGAGAGGGAAAATCCCAATCAGGTTCTGCACAGCCAAAATAAAGAAAGTTCTCCTGTTTACACGGGGCTCAAATTCACAAACTGTGAGATCATGACCTGAGCCGAAACCAAGAGTCGGACACTTAACCAACTGAGTTACCCCGGTGCCCCAGCAAAAAATACATATGTAATATTTCAAAAGAGTAATCATTCTGCTAGCATTTACCATTATATGTAAAATCACAATTTCTAGTAATTTACATATATCAGTATTCATTTGAGATATGTTATCTCCAAGAGATGAAGATAACAATGGAATTAAATGAGATTCCAGGATAAATCTAGAGTATAAATAAATGCTGCTAAAATAAAGCTATTATAGCAATTTAAAACATATTCAAAAGAATGGCCAATTTTGATTAGATCATGAGTTACCTGTTTGTATTCACTGACACAGCTTTGACAGCAAAATCTTTTCTGCTGACCATCAATCACCAGGACATTATTTCCAGCACCTTTGCTGGGCAGGTACTCTCCACACTGTTCACAGCAATTCATTATTAAACCATTGGCCATTCTGTATCTATTAAAGCAGTGGTCACTGCACAGCTTATGAGTCATATTTTTAAAGCTAACTTCATGGCGAATCTAAAAACAAACAAAATTTTAAAAAATAAATGAGTATCACAAGTAGCTAAATAACAAGGTGCTCCAATTGAAAATGCCTCAATAATTTTTCTGTGGAAGGCTTATTTAGGGAAAAAGAAAGACAAAGTACCGTTCGTGATTCTTTGAACTTATTTTTATACACACAATAAATACACTTATGGCAGAGGGGTAAGCATTAGCGACATCACTGCGAACTTCTCTAGAGAGATCTAAAAATGATAGGAAACAACCCAGTTTGGATAAAACTTCTTAAACAAAGAGACTGGAAATCTTTAGACAAATCCAAAAGGAACTATAAATAAAATACACTGCTCTAGAAAGGGAGGAGAAAACCAATGTTATAAATAATTCAGATGAGGTATGTATAATACACCGGTTTCTTTTAATATACTCAAATGTAAAAACTTTAATACCATATGAATAATGTTAAGTCATTAAAAATATTTCCTCCATTTGTTCTCTTTCTTAAGAATGGTAGTTTCGAGTCAAGTCTATATATTTAAACACTATGGTTTTGTCTCTACATGCTCCAAACCTCAGGGAAAAAGTATTATATTTTAAAATTTCCTAAATCATTCTCCCACAGGGGTAATTACATAATGGAATATACATCTCCACTTTTAAAGAACTATATACTGATGACGTCGTAACTATTAAATAAAGCTAAGAATATTCCCATTAGTTAGAACTAAGAGAGAAGGCACAAAAATACAAACCTCTGTTAGTTTACCACAAATTGTACATCTTGATTTATTTAGAGCTCCTTTAGTGGGATTCTGTTTGTCTTCATAAAGAGACAAACAAGATGTACTACAGAATTCCTGGAAGGATTCGCTTGAATCCACTTGAGCGACAATAGTTCCTTTCATCGTAGTTATATCTCTGAAAAGTAAGTGAACAGCTTAAAGTCAACTTGTATTTAAAAAAAAAATCAAATGTAAGAGTAATAATTAACATTTCTAATTTCCACATATTTTACCCTGGGAATCAAACACCATTTTTAGATCCATTAAATCACGTTTACTATTTAAAAACTCTTGGCAATAAAATGTGAACACAGAAGATAAGGAACCAAAATGATTTCATACTATTAAATCTTTGTCAGTACCCAATTTATCTTCAAACTCCTTAACAAGGCTTTCAGACATTGGAAACACTTTAAAAAATAAAAGTAAAAAAAATCAGTTGTTATTATTTATATATGGAGTTTAACATCAAGGCCTAATTTCCTGAGATACAAACTTATAACACCTAGTCAATTCCTTTCCCATAGGTAAGTAGAAAACTTGGAACGATCTAGGTCACAGAAATATGACATATATTCTAGAGAGGATATATGAACTTATTTAGGTACACCCCTATAGCCATAACCCAAAAGGACCCCACCTACCATTCTGTACAGCTCTGTAATGCAATTCGAAATGGTAGGAAACAAAAGTGATGACCTGTGAAGTTTTCCTTTAATGAAATTCTGAATTTCAAGATACTATACTACAGTATGTAAAAGTCTACTACTGTAAAGCAATCTAAAAACTATGTAACTGTTCCAATACTTGCATTTATTAAACTTGTACAGAGAACCTTTCCAAAGTTCTAAGATCTAAACTATCTTCCCAAATTTGGGCCGCTCCAAGAGATGGCACAGAAGGAAAGCCCACCTGGTTCGACCGTGCACATAATATACCATGTTCCACTATTTTTAACTAGTGAAGCAAGACCTAAAAAATAATGTAAGAAAGAACTGTCTCTCCCCAAAGCTATCCAAAAACTGGTACTTGAGTCTTAAAACACGGCATTGTAATGACTGAATGTTCAAAACTAACATAAAAACATAAAATCCAAAGACTTGCCAACTTAAAATAATCTTAATATGAAGATAGTACAAAATTTGATCTATTTTAATGTGACATACATTGCAAAACAATTTTATCTGGCTAGAATTCTAATAATTAATAATGCAAATAAACATGCATTTTGACAAATTCAAGGAGTTCAATGGAGATTAGAGCCAAAATTAATTACAAGGGCCTGGTATCTAAATCAACCCCAAACCCTATCCAAATAAGAAGCCTTTTAATCATCAGCCACCCAGTGGTAGTAGGGAATCCTCCAAAGCCACTGCAAATCTGAGTTTTGCTTTAAGATTCAAACAACTAGCTTACCAATTTTTCAAACATCATAATTTGCCTCTAAGACTCAGGATTTTCCTAAAATTATATACCACCAATATTCAACCACATGGAATTATGCTGAAAGGTAAACCTTACCTACACTTGTGGTGAGCACAGCATAACTTAAGAGACTTGTCCAATCACTATACTGTACACCTGAAACTAATGTAACGCTGTGTATCAACTGTACTTCATTTAAAAAAAAAAGAAGGAGAGAAAGGTAAACCTTACTTTTTACACATAACACAAAGTTTCTTTGGAGCAGGCTTGTGAGAGAAGGAAGAAAGGCAGGTGGTAGAACAAAAGAGATGAGCTGATCCTTTTCGTTGATAAGCCGTCTGTCCCTTCTGTAAAGGTTTTTTACAGTTTGCACAAGTGACTTTAACTGGTTTAGTGGGTTGTTGCTGTGCAGAAGGCTGGAAAATTTGTTTAGGAAGTGAGGCCACTGGTGATAAAGAATCCACCCCTGGTTGTTTCTGATTACGAGGAAATGAAGCTGACTGGGAAATCCAAGAATCTTAAAAACAAAATGCACAAGGAAGAATAAATGAAACAGGTATTTATACACATTGGGATCTCTATCAAAGAAACAGTTTTAACTTCCCATCCTGTACAAGTTTAAGACATTAATAAGGCAGCAATGTAGCAGAGAGGTAAAAACCCAAGGACTAAGAATGCCTAGTTGACATTTAGACTCCACCTACTAAACTGGAAAGTTAAACTCTGTACCTGACTCTTCTCTAAACTGGAAATGGTACCAACCTCATAGGAATGGTAACATTAAATAAGATAATACATGCAATAAAACATAGTAAGTAGCATAGAGGAAGCATTAAAAAATATTAGCCGTTACTGATTAAACAAGAATTTACAGAATATTCCTTTAAGTAAGGAACACATACACAAACATAAAAGTTGATAATGAAAGTTATAATAAAATTTTGGCCAAACACTTGACAAATATAATACAGGTCTGATAAACTGTATATATGATTATATTCAAAACACCTTTTCAAAAACAGCTTTTTCCAAGGTGCCTGGGTGGCTCAGTTGCTTAAGCATCCAACTCTTGATTTCAGCTCAGATCATGATCTCACAATCCTGAGACAGAGCCCCACGTAGGGCTCCGCACTGAGTGTGGAGCCTGCTTGGGATTCTCTCTCTCCCCATCTCTCTCTGCTTCTCCCCACTCATGTACCTGCACGCATGCGTGCACGCTCTCTCTCTCTCAAATAAACATTTTTAAAAATAAAAACAGCTTTTCCCATGTTTAGTTCCATGGCCTCTAAATAGACCACATAATACCAAAGAAATTAGAGTGTTACACAGAATGATAAGCCAACGTATAGTGACTCATCCAACATCATTATTACGGTCTCACTGCAAACGGTTTCGGCATAGCACAGAATTAAAAGATATGTGCAACATTAACAGTAGAGTGCAGAATTTATTTTTTCTCTCTTAAGCTGGTACTTAGCAGAAAGTCTCCTGCTTACTACACTAGTTACTGCTCCACAGATCTCTCACTACACTATCAATACCATAACCTTTTTTCCTTTTGAAACTTTACAGGCCACCATTTCTAAATTCTACTATTGTCTCTAGTAATTTTTTTCTTTTCTAGGTTATTCCAAATTTTCAACTTCCATACATAAAAAGTTACCCTTCTATATGAAAAACAATGGTCTTTTTCCTTCCACAGGAAGTACAAATTTATCTAGAGCTCAGGGAAACTTCTTTATTTTCAAAACCTTGAAGAGGGAGATTTCCTGGTTCCGACCCAGTCCATCAATATAATTATTTCAAGGGGCTACATAACACTGCTACTGAAATTTTACCTTAGTCCGTAATACCCCTCTCCACAAAATTATACTTCATATGTTGAATAACAGTGCATTCTGGAATCCTGTTATTCTGCTATGATCAGGGCAATAGACCAGTTTTAATAAATAGATACAAATATTAATGACTACAAAGAATATACAGTTGGCTCTTGAACAACATGGGTTTGAACTAAGTGAGTCCACTTACATGCAGATTTTTTTATAGTACAGTATTGTAAAAGTATTTTTTTTTATGATTTTCTTAATAACATTCTTTTCTCTAGCTTAGTTTACTATAATACAGTATATAACACATATCATACAGAAAATACATGCTGTTATCAGTAAGGCTTCCAGTCAACAGTAGACTACTAGTTAAAGACAAAACAAAACAAAACCCGAAGGCTACTAGTAGTTATGTTTTGGAGTAGTCAAAAAATTATATATGGATTTTTCAAGTGCATGGGGGGTGGGGAGAGAGGGGAAGTTGACACTCTTAACCCTTACTATGTTTTTAAGAGCCAACTGTAGTCACTAATTGAAAATTCCACCTTATGAAGGCCCTCCAATCAAAACTTGTATTTGAACATATGCTCAATTTTGCAGGTTTATCACTTGAACATATTCTTAAAGAAATGAGTTAAATTTAAGGGCATCGATTAACTTGATTTTGAAAAAAAAAGGCATACTTTTTTTTCGAATTTACTTTTAGACCCTGTATAAATAATATGTCTCCATTTATCTATTTTTCAGTTCTTATATATTTCTGCTACCAAATTTTCACATCCTCCAACATGAAAATATTTTTAGGAAGGTAAGTTTTGTCTAAACCTTCTATTTTATTCAAAGGACATCAGAGGGCAGCAGTTTAATTTGCCCAAATCACAATTAGTCTGACAGCTAGTATAAATAGCCAAGATTTTATAACTCCCTATTACCAATAAAAACATCACATTTAACAACAAGAGCGAATTCAGAAACAAAAGAGCAAAAAGGTATATCTGTTCAGTTTTTTTCTGATAAGTAGTATACATTCCCTTGTATAAGAGCTTGAGTAAAAAGGAACACAATTGGTTTTTTTTTTAAGATTTTTTTATTTTTTATTTTTCTTAAGTAATCTCTACATCCAAAATGGGGCTCGAACCAATAACCCCAAGATCAAGAGTAACACACTATACAACTGAGCCAGCCAGGCACCCCCAGAAACACAATTCTTACAATGATATGCCCCTTTGACTCAACAATATCCCTAAAGAAATAAGTATTTCAAGATACAGGCATAAAAATATCCTTAAGAGTTATTTAAATAGTGAAAACTGGAACCAAGCTAAATAGAGAATAAATCAAACATATAGACTTGATATGGTCAAAAGTTCAAGATGTTTTGTTAGGTATTTAAAGGGGTAGTAGGAGGAAAGAGTTTACAAAACAATACCTAAACTACGATCTCAGGTTAGAATTAAATGTACTACTCTCAATGGTGAGATTATTTCCTTCCTCATACTCTTATGTTTTTAAAATATTTATAATTACAATAAAGACAAAATACTTATTTTCAAATTAATTTGAGCATTAGCATCTTAAACTTTTATTTGAGCCTGAAAGTTACAATGAGAAAGAAACTAACATATAGACAGCTGACGTGTAAGTTTGTAAGACTTTTCTGGACGGCAATATGACAATATATTTCTACAACTTTAAAATGCTCATACAAACTCACAGATACATGCCCGTACCCAGACTTGCCTACGAAAATACATATACACACATAGAGGGAAAGAGTCTTGGAAGGCATGAGATATTTTACAAATTGAATAGTAAGGAACATTATTTCTTCCAAAGTCATTATAAACCAGATAGATTTTTTTTCAACCAAAAGTCTTTGGAAGGATAGGGACAGTGATATCGTTTGGCCTTGTAACTTCATTTCTAGAAATATACTCTAAAGAAATAATGAGAAATTTGAACAAAGATGTTCATCATAAATCTATAATAGCAAAATATGGGAAACTGTAAACACCAAATATGGGAATGATATATCCATATCCACTATGCAGTCATTAAAACTTGTATATAAATGTTATTGGTATGAGGAAATACAACATAATATTAAAATGGGAAAAAAACAGGAAGCAAAATTATTCAGAGTTGCATGTCAACCAAGTGATAATGCAAAGGAAAAAGACTGAAAGAAAACCACTCAAAGGACTGACGCAGTAATCTTCAGTTAATAAAATACTATCAGGGATTTAATTACAGATTTTCCAAACATTCTTCAACAATTAAACATCACTCATAACCAAAAAAAATAAGTAAAAAGGAAAAATGACCAGCATTTTATAGCATTCTACAGTAAGCTTTAGTCATTCTTTATTATTCTCCACAATTTCTAGGCTGACAAAGTTGCTAATAAGCCTAAAAGGATGAAAAAAATGAGAGAAACAGAAAGAAGCATATATGAGAAAGACAGACATATAAAGGTTTAGGGGCAGAGGTGAAAGATAAAGGGACATACAAAGACATGGTCATCAAAAAGCCAGAGTTCTTGTAACTTCTCTTTTTAATGTTTTCACAGAGCAAAACTGTCTAAAGAAAAATTTTTCAGATAGTTGCGAAATTTACCAGCCTTCAAATATTAAAATATAAAATGCTAGTAAGAAAAAATTAAAATCAGATAAGAGTCAAAATTAAACACAAGTAAAGTAAAAACAAATCTAAATGTGCCTATTATACAATACTAGGTTGTTACATAAGTGTTTATCTTTTTTTTCACTATTTACACATTACTACTAGACAGAACTAAAATTGTATTAGCAAAAAGTAATTACATGACAAGTAAGATGCCAAACTGTTAGACTTCAGTAGTAGTTAATGTAAAAGGCATTTTTCTCCAATCCTTTAGACATAAATTTCTGTGATTTTCTAATAATCTGCAGAGAAATACATGGTTTTACATCTCTTATTAGCTAAAATTTCAAACTTACAAGTCAATAGAATTAACTTATCTTACATGAGTAAACTAACCGAGGTAGTACCAATTACTACAATAAAAAAAGGAGCAAGCAAATAAATTCATTTACATGGGGTAGATCACGTACTGCTTACCAGGATTATGATGAGTTGCAGATTCTCCATTCTGAAATACGTCTCCTGCCACATTCATTCTACCAGGATTAAAAGGTCCTACTCCAGTCTTGGTCTGTGAAGTTAAAGATGGGGTGTATGTTTGTATATTAACACCAAAATTACTTGACTGCAGTCCGTTAGAGACATCTCCCAAGTTGGTATTCTGCAGTGATGTTACATGTGTAATCATTAAGTTCATATCTCGCCCGTCAGTATTTTCTAATTGGCCATCATTCACAGAGCTTACACCTGTTTCTAAGGTTGTAACATTAGCAATCTGAATTTCAGAGTCTGGTTCTGTGGTGATACCACTATTACCCATTCCTGCATTTACCTTACTTCTTGAAAAACTGGAAGTGGAGAAATCCACATCATTGGTTCTGTTTTTAGATTCAGGAGGTCTCCGTTCAATAAAATTGGAGGAATTTTTCTCTTGCCCTTGATTTGTTTCCATGTCCTCTTCATCATCAATGACAATTGTCTCACTTACACTTCCCTTCTGAGAAGCCAACTCTTTTGAGGATGGAAGAATTTTGGAATCATTTCCTTGTAGTTCTTCATTTTTTGATGATGTAAATGTTACAGTCCTTTGATCAGCTACCACTGGTGCAGAAGGTGGGGGAGGTTGTACGGGTTCGATAAAAACAACATCATCATCATCTTCCACTGATGAGTTTTGAAATTTATTAGATCTAGAAACTAAAGGATTAGGTGGACCACTAAATGAATTTCCTACATTGGTGAGACTAGTTGCCATGGCCGTACTCCCTAATAAAACAGGAGTCTGATCAGTCAATTCTAATCCTCCCACTGAACCTGTGTCCATGCCAAAAAACCTGTCAAGGAGATGGAAAGAAGAAAAAGAAAACATATGTCAGTATAATCTTTTGTTATTCTAACTGAAAGATTTATTTATTTATTTATTTGGCTTTTATTTTTAAAGTTTATGTGTTTATTTTGAGATAGGATGTGAGCACATGTAAGCACGGCGGGGGGGCGGGGCGAGGGGCGGGGGGAGACAATCCCAAGCACGTTCAGCACTGTCCATGCAGAGCCTGACGTAGGGCTCAGCCTTACAAACCATGAGATCATGACCTGAGCCAAAATCAAGAGTCAGACGCCCAAATGAACCACCCAAAGCACCCCTGAAAGAACTTTTTAAAGGTAATTTTCTTTTTTATTCTAAATGACAATTCTTATTTAATAAAGGAAAAATTTGGTATCCATTCTATGATGTCATTCACTAAATTTCATATAGTCTCCATGGGAACCTCTTGCAATATAAAAAGGTAATCCTCCAATTTTCAGTAATGATATGTAGTATATTCCCACTTCCACCACCTCCTTTCTACCATACTATTTAAGCTATAAACTTTACCATTGGAAACATGGATAAATCCTTCAATATACGTTTGAACAGGAAAATAACAAAAACCTGGCAATAAAAATCCCTTCTCTATACATTTATCCTATGTATCTACTGTATTGAATAAGGTGACATGATCTAATCCCTAATTTCCCTTGCCTCATCTTTTTTTAATCCCTTTTTTTTCATATTCCCTGGCCCCCTTACAACTATATAATTGAATCCTTCTGAGAATCTGAAATCCTTGTTGACCTTATCCAGGAAGCTTAAATCCTTATTTGCCAGGCACTATTGCTGTATGCTTTATATCCATGTATCAGGCTGAATAATGGCCCCCAAAGATATCAGATCCCAATCCCTGGAACCTGTAAATGTTACCTTACATGGTAAAAGGGTCTTTGCAGATATGATTAAGGTCAAGAATTTAGAAACAGATTAGCTAGGTGGGCCCTAAATGTACCAGTTTGCAAAGGGAGGTAGAAGGAGATTACAGGCATAGAGGCAGATCAGAGACTGAAGTGATGCAGCCAAGGGATGTTGGCAGTCACCAGAATGTAGAAGAGGCAAGGAATGGATTCTCTGCCAAAGCTTCCAGAGGAAGCCTGGCCCTGCTGACACCTTGATTTGATCCCTGTGTCACTGATTTCCAACTTCTAACCTCCAGAATTATGAGAGCAAAAATTTTCTATTGTTTTAAGCCACCAAGGTTATGGTAATTTGTTACAATGGCCACAGGAAATATACACACTACACTTCCTAGTTATATCTTCAATAGAACACTTGATATAGTTATAATTTCTGTCCCATTTTAATGAAGAAGAATTTATGTCTTGGAGATGCTAATTAACCTGCCAAAGTCACACAGCTAAAATGCATACCCGGGTCTTTATAACTCAGTAGTCCAAACTCTTCATTACTCTGCTGTATTCAACCAATTATTTTCTGAGCTCCTGATAAATATGCAGGGCTATGCTGAAGCCAAAGAGACTGCAAAGAGTTAACAGTGAAGAGCCAGAAAAGAAAGAAGGTAAGTTCTTGAGCAATGGGAGAAGATGAGGTCATGGACACAGGTGGTAGCAGAACTAATCTTGAACATCAATCACCTCAGTTTCAGTGACTAAACAGGAAAGAAAATATAAAACAGGCAGAGGATAAAGGGTGGATATAGATTGTAGGTTAAAAAAAAGGGACGGGGGGGTGTAGGTTAGTTTGGAGACAAGGTGGATGGGTATTTGAAGTGGTTTATACATGGTAGCCTAATTTTCATAAAGTAGGTTTTCTGAGATGGTGAGAAAACAGTGGTGTACAAGTCTTAAAAGACTGGTTCAAGAGCCCCAAAGCCAACTCTTGAGTCTTTTGTAGTCCTCTTTCTCTAATAAAGTCATTTAGCCCGGTTTAAAAAAATAAAAAACAAAACGGGTGGTTTAAGAACATTTACTACTTCGGGGCGCCTGGGTGGCGCAGTCGGTTAAGCGTCCGACTTCAGCCAGGTCACGATCTCGCGGTCCGTGAGTTCGAGCCCCGCGTCAGGCTCTGGGCTGATGGCTCGGAGCCTGGAGCCTGTTTCCGATTCTGTGTCTCCCTCTCTCTCTGCCCCTCCCCCGTTCATGCTCTGTCTCTCTCTGTCCCAAAAATAAATAAATGTTGAAAAAAAAAAAAAATTTAAAAAAAAAAAAATAAAAAAAAAAATAAAAAGAACATTTACTACTTCATATATGCTGCCATTTGCTTATTTTGCTATAAAGAACTTCTGAAACAATGAAGATGACACTACTATACATATCACTTTGGCAGATGGAGTAACAAGGACAGGGATAGAGAAATTGTTCATTGTATATTTCATTGTTTTTCTTAATTTTTGAACACAATTTCTCACTTATTTTTAAAGCAAAATTTAAAGTTTTTAACAACAAATTGGTAATAGAGTTATCAGAGAAGACCTCTTTGGCCAGGTGACATTTACACTGAAATCTGGAATGACAAGAAAGATTCACTGTGGCAAAATTGTAGGAAGGGCATTCCTACATTCAAGCCTGAAGGCAATGAAGCTGGTGAATCCAAGCAATAAAATAAAGACCAATGTGGCTGAACAAGTTAGGGAAGAATTGTAGGAGATATAAAAACATGCACAGAACAAGCTTCCAATGACAACAAGTTAATTCATTAACTGCATTCAACAAAGATTTACAAAGCATCCAACCTAGTATGCACAGGACACTGATCTGGACACCTGAGGGCGGTGGGGGGAGAGTGGGAATCAACAAACAAAACACATCCCTGCAATCAGAAATCATGAATTTTAAACACAAGTTTGGATTTTACTGTAACAGGTTGAAACACTGCAGTGTTTCCACCAAAAGGTTAACATGTCACTTATGTTTTTAATACATCTCCCGGGCTGCTATGTGGAAAATGGATGAGAAGGCAAGACTAGAGGCAAAGAAACCACCTAGAAGGCCACTGATCCAGCTGAGAGATGATGGTAACTGAAAACAAAGGTGACGACAGGAGATGGAAAAAAACTGAACAGATTAGGGTTTTTTAAAAAGCAGATCTTACTAACATGAAAAGATCAGTAAGATTACTGTGGACCAAAAAAAAGTTACAAGAAAACAGAGTATTACTACTACAACGTTATGCATTCCCCAAAAACCCATACACACACATATTCTATTTTTCCTAAATTACGTAACTTTTATGTAAATTCATGAAAAAAAAACTCTGTAAGGATCACACTATACTGATAAACATTGCTTATGGGAGAAGCAGGGAGTCTGAGTAAGAGAGGTGACCAACAAGTTGCACTTCAGATTTATTTTTATTTTTATCGAGAGAGAGAGAGAGAGAGAGAGCACACAAGCAGAGGAGAGAGGCAGAGGGGTAGAGAGGTAGAGGGACAGAGAGAGAGAGAGAGAGAGAGAGAGAGAGAGAGAGAGAGAGAGAGAACCCCAAGCAGGCTCCATGCTCAGCATAGAGCCCAACACCGGGCTCATTTCCATGATCCTGGGATTATGACTTGAGACAAAATCAAGACTCAGTCAATTGACTGAGCCACGCAGGAGTCCCACAAAATTGTACTTAAGAGTCAACATTAATCTAAAAAGAATTTCAGGCAGCTAAGCACCTGAATGAATAATGTAAAAAACAGGCACCTGGCTGGTTCAATCAGAGGAACATGTGACTCTTGATCTTGGGGTGATGAGTTCGAGTCCCACATTGGGTGTAGAGATTATTTAAATAAATAAATGTTTTTTAAAAACAAATAATGGGGAAGACAGGAGTCAGTACAGAAAATAATAAAAAGTTGATAAAGCGTTAGTTAAAGATGAAGGAATTATCACCAGATATAAGAGGAATATAGGTTAAGCACTTTTCATAGACATTAAATAGGGGTATATCAACCATTTTATGAAAACACTGGATAGACCATATCTAACTGCTCTTCTCACTGCATGTCTAAAACAGTGCCTGGGCACAGAGTATACACTCAGTTTTCCCAAATATTTGTGGAAAGGCAAGAAGGCAAAAACTCCTATGTTAACTTTGATTACCAGAGTTATTTTTAAGTAACCTTTACTTATAAAATTCTGATCCCTTATTTGATATATATTGTGCTATTCTCTAACCATTAAGCATCTTACTTAAACCAAGTTTAGTTTCCAGAGGGCATCACATCCTATTTAACATAGTAATGAAATGTTTGTAGTAACAAACAGTATTTTATAGGAATGGCTATTGTATTTTCACTTAACTGTGACAAAAACCTCTTCTGAGTTAAATAAAATAGATTTTAACTTTTCTATAATAAAGCCATACTTCAATACATTAAAACTACCCACGGTTCCAAGACATCAGAATTCAAGTACTATGTATAAAGCTGAATTCCACAGGAATGCAAGCTGGTGCAGCTACTCTGGAAAACAGTATGGAGGTTCTTCAAAAAACTAAAAATAGGACTAACCTATGACCCAGCAATTGCACTACTAGGTATTTATCCAAGAGTTACAGGTGTGCTGTTTCGAAGGGACACATGTACCCCATGTTTATAGCAGCACTATCAACAATAGCCAAAGTATGGAAAGAGCCCAGATGTCCATCGATGGATGAATGGATAAAGAAGATGTGGTCTATATATACAAGGGAGTATTACTCGACAATCAAAAAGAAATCTTGCATCTGCAACTACGTGGATGGAACTGGAGGGTATTATGCTAAGTGAAATTAGTCAGAGAAAGACAAAAATCATATGACTTCACTCATATGAGGACTTTAAGAGACAAAACAGATGAACATAAGGGAAGGGAAACAAAAATAATATAAAAATAGAGAGGGGGACAAAACAGAAGAGACTCATAAATATGGAGAACAAACTGAGGGTTACTGGAGGGGTGGGGAGGGGGATGGGCTAAATGGGTAAGGGACACTAAGGAATCTACTCCTGAAATCATTGTTGCACTATA